TAGCCTGAGGCTTAGCATAGATAGCTTTTGCAATGTTGAGGTAAGTTCCTGTTATCCCTAGTTTTTCTAGTGTTTTGAACATAAAGGGATGCTGTACTTGTCGAATGCTTTTTCTGCATCTATCGAGATGATCATATGGTTCTTATYTTTAAGTCTATTGATGTGGTGAATAACACTTATTGATTTCCATATATTGAACTATCCTTGCATCCCAGGGATGAATCCTACTTGATCATGGTGCACAATTTTTTTGATATGTTTTTGTTTCTGATTTGCCAGAATTTTATTGAGGATTTTTGCACCTAAGTTCATTAAGGATATTGGTCTGTGGTTTTCTTTCTTTGAAGTGTCTTTGTCTGCTTTAGGAATCAGGGTGATGTTGGCCTCGAAGAATGAATTTGGAAGAGCTCCCTCTTTTTCTATTTCCTGAAATAACTGGAAAAGTATTGGTATTAGTTCTTCTTTAAAGGTTTTGTAAAACTCCGCTGTATACCCATCCGGTCCTGGGCTTTTCTTGGTTCGTAGTCTTTTGATGGCTTCTTCTATTTTCTCCGTTGATATTGGTCTGTTTAAATTGTGTGTATCCTCCTGACTCAATCTGGGCAAGTCATATGACTTAAGAAATTTATCGATGTCTTCACTATCATCTATTTTATTGGAATATAGGGTTTCAAAATAATTTCTAATTATCATCTGTATTTCTGTGGTGTCTATTGTGATATTGCCTTTTTCATCCCATATGCTACTAATTTGAGTTCTCTCGCTTCTTCTCTTCGTTAACATGGCTAAGGGTCTGTCGATCTTATTTTTTTTCAAAGAATCAACTTTTACTTTTGTCAATTTTTTCAATAGTTTGTTTTGTTTCGATTTCGTTGATTTCAGCTCTGATTCTAATTATTTCTTGCCTTCTGCTACATTTGCTCTTGTTTTGCTCTTTTTTTCTAGGGTTTTGAGATGAAGTGTGAGATCGATCATTTGTTTGTTGTTTTTTTCTTTTTTTGAGGAATGAACTCCAAGCAATGAATTTTCCTCTTAGAACTGCTTTCATTGTGTCCCATAAATTCTGATATGTTGTATCTATATTTTCATTTATCTCTAAGAATTTTTTGATTTTTCTCCTTTATGTCTTCTGTAACCCATTGATTATTTAGTAACATATTGTTCGTTTTCCAAGTGATGTAGGATTTTTCCTTCCTTCTTTTATCGTTGATTTCCAGTTTCATTCCATTATGATCAGATAAGATGCATGGTATTATCTCCACACCTTTATAATTTCTAAGGGTTGCCCAATGGCATAATATATGGTCTATTTTTGAGAAGGAACCATGTGCTGCTGAGAAAAAAGTATATCCACATGATGATGGTTGATATATTCTCTATATGTCGGTTAAGTTTAGGTTTTTAATTGTGTTATTGAGTTCTATAGTTTCTTTATTCAACTTTTGTTTGGAAGATCTGTCCAATGGTGAGAGAGGTGTGTTGAAATCACCCATAATTATTGTGTTGTGGGTGGTCTATTTGACTATTGAACTTGAGGAGAGTTTATTTTATGAACGTAGCAGCACCATTGTTTGGTACATAAATATTGATAATTGTTATGTCTTGTTGGAGAATGGTTCCCTTTAACAGTATATAGTGTCCTTCCTTATCCCTTTTGATTAACTTAGGCTTGAAGTCGATTTTATTCGATATGAGGATGGCCACCCCTGCTTGTTTCCGAGGACCATGTGAGTGGTATGATTTTTCCCAACCTTTCACCTTCAGCCTTTGTATGTCTTTTACAATCAGATGAGTCTCCTGAAGGCAGCATATTGTTGGATCTGTTTTTTTAATCCAGGTTACCAGCCTATGTCACTTTATTGGTGAATTTAAGACATTAACATTTAGGGTTACTATTGATATATGGTTTGTACTTCCAGTCATGTTTGTTTCTTTAATCATTTATTTATTTTTAATTTGGTTTGTTTTCCCCTTCTTGATTAGTTCCCCCCTCCTCGCTTTACTGAGGTACTTCCCACTGTTGGTTTTGGTTGTTGTTTTTTATTTCCTCTTCGTGTAGTGTTTTGCCCAAATTCTTTGCAGTGCTGGTTTTCTCGCTGTGAATTCTTTTAACTTTTGTTTATCACGAAAGATTTTTATTTCATTGTCGAACCTGAAGCTTAGTTTTGCTGGATACAATATTCTTGGTTGGCATCCATTATCTTTCAGTGTTTGAAATACATTGTTCCAGGGTCTTCATGCTTTCAGCATCTGTGATGAAAAATCAACTGTTAACCTAATTGGTTTACTCCTGAATGTAATCTGCCTCCTTTCTCTTGTAGCTTTTAATATTCTCTCTTTGTTCCGTATATGGGATATCTTCATAACAATGTGTCTTGGACTGTGGTTTTGGGTGCTCAGCATCCTGTATGCTTCTGGGATTTGTACATCTGTTTCATTTTTCATGTCTGGAAAGTTTTCTAAAATCATTTCATTCAACAGATTGCTTATTCCTTTGGTTTGGACCTCTATGCCTTCCTATATCCCAATGACTCTTAAGTTTGTTTTTTTAATGTTAACCCATATCTCTTAGATGTTTTACTTGTGGTATCTTACCAGCCTTTCTGAGTTGATTAGACTCTTTTCGAGATGATATATTTTGTCTTTATTGTCTGACGTTCTGACTTCTATTTAATCTAGTCTACTAGTGATACTCTCATTTGAGTTTTTAATTTGGTTTATAGTTTCCTTCATTTCTAGGATTATTGTTTGATTTTTTTATAATCTCTGTCTCCTAGAAGAGTTGATTTTTTGCTTCTTGAATCTGTTTATGTAATTCATTTTCAATGTGTTCTTTCATTGTTTGCATTTGCTGTCTAATGACCTCTTTAAGATTCCATTCCATCTGAGTCAGGTATTCCTTGAGTTCTTTATCTGACCATTTTTCTGATTCCTCTTGGTTCTCCTGTAGATTTAGGCTGTCCTGCATTGTTTGTACTCCTTTTCTTCCTTGTTTTTTCATGATGCTCATGTTACTTCCAGCTCTGTTTGACTGCTGTGTTACTGTTTACTCCTATAAATTTATTTTGGTTTTGTATATCTCCAGGATCTCTCCTTTGTGATGGGAGACTATGTCTAGAGATGTCGAGTTTTATTGTACTTTAAAGCAGATTCATTTGTTTCATAAAATACGTACGGATTTTGATGGCGCATAGCAATCTGCGGTTTGGTCTTGGGACTTTATGTTTAGGTCGGGTGATGTGATGGTATAGGGGTTGGTATATGTTGGCAACCTTGGAAGATTGCTCTACTGAAGGGGGATATTAACAGGAGAATGGACCAGAGTATTTGGGGGTAGCTAGGGACTTGGGAGCACTATAGATTGCCTCGGAACACTTACCTATTTACATTTAGTAAATTACACATAAATGGGAGGAAAGGTATGAGAAGGGGAACGAAGAAGTCGCTAAAGAGAATGAGAGAAAGTAGAAAATATGTAGAATACAATAAAAGGGGAAAAAGAAAATTGAAAAGAAATGAAAAAAAACGATAAATTCAGTCTTAAAGTTCGATTAAGTTCTCTTCCAGTAGGTGGAGCTGTGCCCAGGAAACAATCCCTGTGAGGCGGCTCTTCCTCCCCCACTGGGCGGCTCTCCATCCTGATTGTGCAGGGCCATTCCTGGTCTCCAGCCACCTCCCTGCTTCTCCTGCCATCCAGGCCCCAGTCACTGGTTGTGTTCTCCACAGAACTAGCTACATGCCAGGCCTGCAGCCCCCTGGGTGCCCTGTTCTCTTGGACGACTGGGCACTCTCTCTATTTGCCATTCACCCAGACCCCAAGGTTGTGGAGCGTGGAGCTGGAGGCCGTCAGCTTATTTTGCCTGGTTCCCTCCGGTAGCCATGCCCCCAGGAGCTGGGGAAAGAGGCCTTGGATGTCAGCGCTGGTAGGAGAGGTAGCCAGGGGTCAGGCGCCCCTCCTGTCTCCCTCGGGTACGACAATCACGATCACAGAGAGCTGGGGAGGGGCCCTTGGGATTTCCCACTGTGTGGAGAAGGAGGGCTGAGGGTCACACACCTGCAGTTACCGCTTTCGTTGCAGAGTGATCCTGTCCACTGAACTCTGGTGGCGTCAGTTCTCTGCCGTTATGGATGCCGTTCTCTCTGCCGGGGTGTCCAATGGGAAGGGTGGATCCGGGCCGTCTCTCCCAGGTCCCACCTCAGCTCTCAGCATGCTGGCCTATGGAGACTCGGTTGGCATGACCTCAAAAGGTTCACAAAGGAACCGAAGAGTTGTTTCTCTATTCTGCTGGAGCGTCTCTGTAGCGCTGAGTCATGGCGGTTTGCTGGCGGGGCACAAACAATCATCTAGAAACTCTGTACACGGGGCAGCCTGAATTCACCCAAGCTGAGCTGGACATGGTCTCTGAGAGGCTCAAACTGCTCGTCCAAGATCCTCTTCAGCCCAGCATTGCCAGATGTTCCTGAGCAAACAGCATTCAGTTGGTCTCTAAGCTTCTTCTTAAGTAGCCTGCCTCAGGTGTTTTTTATATTAATGAAAACGTGACTAATACAGAGAGATTTGCTGTAGGAGGCTTTCAATTGCCCTTTATGTTTGAAACATGTCAGAATGTGTTTAAATATTATGTAGTATGATGACAATCACATAATTAAAATAAGGAAGTGGTTATGTAAATTGTGGTACATAGTGAGTGAAATATTATGAACCCATTAAAGTATACAATAGAGAAAAAATGCACTGACATAAGAAGATATTTGTAATTTTGTATACTGGCTAGAAAATTAAGAATTTATGAATATAACATATAGAAACACATTATATATATATAATATGTGTATATGTATATAAATATTACCTCTAACTTATGAAATTATAATTTTCTATTTTTTACTAAAATAAAAATTTCCTAATGTTTTTAAATTTTATTTAGTAACATAAGAGAGGAAGGAAAAAAGCAGAAAAGGAAAATAACATGTTTTTCTTTTGAAATGGAACAAGGAAACCTTGGTATCTTTATATGATTTTTTTTATCAAACCACTCTTGTAAAGAATGCACTTGAAAAATGTAAAAACAAATAGTGTCATTCATCCTTCTGAAGATATTATTGTGAACTTTTCCAGTAGCTTTTGAAAGGGAAGTTAAGATGTTTTCATGGTACTGAGTCCATGGCATTTCATACTTGGAAGTGCCCTATCTTTAATCTCTAATTACATTAATGTTCTATGTCTGACTCATGAAGAAAGGAAGCTTCAAAGTGAAAAAGGGAAAATCCAGTTTCTCTCTAAGTACAATAACCATTAATATAGTTCAGCCATGTGACACCCATACTCCAAAGTTTCCAAATATCCTACCCAGAAGAATTCAGAGTTCAAGGATGTGCCTGCCAGTGAAATAATAAAAATTTTTTTATTTATTATAGATCTTTTTATAAGGAAATTTAAACAATGTGTTGAAAATAGATAGTCTTTATAATGCCTCTGAGAGGGACAAAAGGAAGAGATGATTATTACTTTTTTCATCTAGATAAAATTTATTGAACCCTTCGTTTATGGCTCTGAACTTAATGTTTCAGTTATTGTTTCTACTCTTTAGAAGACATTTTTTTTCATTGATAGAATAGGAATAAAAGTAAAATAAACAAAAATAGAGTTAATCTCTGGATTCTAATATTCCAGTCCTCTACTAACTAATTATGTGAAATTTATTCTTTTATGTGAGAGTGTATGTATACTTGTATGCATGCATATATTTACCCTTTCTCCAGTATCCTAATGCTCTGTCCTAAGTTGTGTAGTTGGTGTCTCACAATACATATAGTTTTCATTTCTTTTTTTCCTAGGCAAAATGTCCAGTGATCGAGCTTTGAGGAAACAGCAACAGTTAAACAACCTTGTTTATGTGGTGATAAAACAGGCCAAACCTGGTGACAGAATTGTGGATTTCTGCAGTGGCGGGGTATTATGTGTCTCCTTTTATACTTTTTAGCTTTTCCAAGAGTGTGTGACTTTTCTATATTACACTTAAGGTCATGTTTTTATTTGGCAAGATTGTTGTCTTACAATGAGCAAAAGACATAAGGACCAAAGTTAACTTGGTTCTTTTACTGACTTTTTCAGGGCCATGTTGGAATTGTTCTTGCTCACATATTGCCATCCTGCCAGGTAAAGTCTGAATAATATATTAAAAATATGTATAAGATAAACACAATTCAACTAGCCAAGTCTGGCTTATCCCTTACTCAGAGTTCCTAATCATTCACCCTAATCAAATAAGTGACACAGGCATTTTCTGTTTTCTTTGAAGTAAACTTCTAAGATTTAGAATCTTAAGGGGAAAATTATTAAAGTAGGACCAAAGTACAGTTGCAAATTTTTAAAAAGTTGCATGTCTTTAAAAAGTTTTTAATTGCAATCCCATTAAATAAAATATCTATAATTAAATTAACTTTCAATATAACTATAACTGGAAATAATGGCTTCTAAAATTTGTTGAGCATGTTCTTTTGATCAATTACATCAAAATTCTAACAAAAATAACAATTGTTTTGTTCTAATTTGTTATATATGACAGCAAAATGCATTACAGTTAATATTACACAAGTAGAGCACAATTTTTCATGTGTCTGGTTGTGCACAAAGTAGAATCACACCATTCATGTTTTCATACATGTACTTAGGGTAATGATGTCTGTCTCATTCCACCATCTTTCCTACTTCCCACCCCCTCCCAACCTTTCCCTCCCCTTTGACCTATCTAAAGTTCGTTCATTCCTCCCATGCTCTCCCCACATCTCCATTATGAATCAACATCCTTATATCAGAGAAAACATTCAGCATTTGTTTTGGGGGGGTTGGCTTACTTAGCTTCTGTTCTCCAACTCCATCCATGTACCTGCAAATGCCATGATTTTATTCTCTTTTAATGCTGAGTAATATTATATATATATATATATATATATATCACATTTTCTTTATTCATTCACCTATTGAAGGGCATCTAGGTTAGTTCCACAATTTAGCTATTGGAAATTGTGTTGCAATAAACATTGATGTGGCTGTATCCCTATAGTATGCTGTTTTTAAGTCCTTTGGGTAGAGACCGAGGAGTGACATGGCTGGGTCAAATGGTGATTCCATTCCCAGTTTTCCAAGGAATCTCCACACTGCTTTCCATATTGGCTGTGCCAGTTTGCAGCCCCACCAGCAAAGTATGAGTGTGCCTTTTTCTCCACAACCTCACCAACACTTAATCAACAAATGGTGCTAGGAACACTGGAAGTCTATATGCAACAAAATGAAATTAAGTCCCTATCTCTCACCATGTACAAAGTTCAACTGAAAGTGGATCAAGGACCTAGGAATTAAACCAGAGACCCTATGCCTAATAGAAGAAAAAATAGACTCAAACCTCCATCATGTGGGATTAGGCCCCACTTCCTTAGTAAGACTCCTATGGCACAAGAAATAAAATCAAGAATCAATTAATGGGACAGATTCAAACTAAAAGAAGAAACAATCAGTGAGGTGAATAGAGAGCCTACAGAATGGGAGCAAATTTTTACCACACCACATCAGATAGAGCACTAATCTGTAGGATATATAAAGAACTCAAAAATCTTAACACCAAAAAACAAATAGCACAATCAATAAATGGGCCAACGAACTGAACAGGCACTTCTCAGAAAAAGATATACAATCAATCAACAAATATATGAAAAAATGTTCAACATGTCTAACAATTAGAGAAATGCAAATCAAAACTACTCTAAGGTTTCATGTCACTCCAGTCAGAATGGCAGCTATAAAGAATACAAACAATAACAACAATTTTTTAAAAAGAAAATAAAAAATAATACCCAAACCTACCATATTGATCCATCAAATGTTTTTCTTCCCTTGTTCTCATTAAGTTATGCCCATACTAATATTTCTGTTACAAATTCTACAAATGCAAATAAAATTTTAGTCCCCTTGCTCTTTGTTCACTATTTTATCACAAATATTTTTCATTTGCTAATAGTTTTACATATCATCATATTTTAGTGATGATATATTTTTAAGTAAATATACCACTCAGTCATTGGTACAGTTAGAAATTTGTGTTGTTTCTAATCTTCTACCATATTAAATCAGTTCCTCACAGTGGCCATCTTATAACATAAAAGTCTTCAGAAGAAAAATCATTTTTTAATACAAATTCAACTAGGTCAGAGTATTTGTGAGTTTTCTGGGAGATGTGAACTAACTATAGTAAATACTTGCGGAAGAAAAAATTATGGAGAAACTGATTTACTGGTCAGAATGATATTTAACAGAATAATTGGAGGTGAGGGATAATCTCTTTTCCTAGAGAATAAATAAAAAATAAACCAATAATCCTAGAAGAGGTGAGTGCCTTTTTATTATTAAAGAAAATAACAGTTTCATGTTTGAAAGGAAGAAAGTTCATAGAATACAGAACCAGAGCCAGGAACRTAGTATCTTTAGTTCCCTTCCTAATAGTTCTGAAAACTTAGATAAATTGAATTGGCTAGAATAAAGGCTAAAAAGCCTTTAATACCACTTATACTCTGACAGGATTTCTATTCAAAGGGATCCAAGATTTTTCCATAAATGTAATCATAAGTACAAAATAAGAACCAGGAATAATAGTGATGATATTGTATTAATTCTACTCAAAATCACTGTTGCAGGTTTCTGTTGTCCCTGCTTCTCCCACTCTTCCATAATCTGTATTATTCATGGAAGCTGATGGACCTTCTTTTATCATAAATGCATGAACTGAGTCCATTACTTCTCCATCCTCATATCAACCTCCATACCCTTTGCCTCCATCCCCACTATCACTAACATGTACATTGTGCCAAGCTATACCAGTTTTCTTACTTCTTCATACATACTACACTCTTTCCCACCTTGGGCCTTCATATGTATTTCTCTCTCTGCCTAACACTCTTCCATTCCTTCTTGCTATGTTCTTTTTATTTTTCAGACCTCAGTTGATATGTTACTTTCCCCAATAAAATCTTCCTTAGTCATCAAGTCTGAGTGCTCCCATTATACATTGTTCATCTTTTATTAAACATTTTTCACACTGTGGTATTATTGCTTGTTTCACTTATATCACTACACCTTAAGCTTCAAGAGTTCAAAGACCTTGTTCAATTTAGTATCAGATTAACTGACATACTTCCTGGCACAGAATAGAGGATCAGTATAATATGTTCAACATTATTAAGGCTATGGAATATAGCAATAATGTTTTGTCCTAATATTTTGAGTTATGTTACTGAATATACTGTTTTTTTCCTGGGAAAATCTAGGTTATATTAATAGAAAACAAGGAATTATCATTAATTCGTGCTAAGAAGAGAAGTGATGATCTAGGTTTAAGCAACATTTGGTTCATCCAAGCCAACATGGAGTATTTTACAGGGATGTTTAATATTGGGGTAAGTCATCATGCAATTTCAATTTCCTAATTATAGCTAAATAAAATTATATGCCTTAGAATAAATAAAGGATTTAATTTTATATTATTTCCTAAACAAAGAAATCTATAACTTTCTATACTTTCTCAACAAAATATAGTATACTAATTAATATTATTATTATATTCATAGTACTTCATTATTAAAAGTATATGTTTGTCTTTTTCAAAGCAATATTTTTTTCTACATTTCGCAGTTATACACCTACAATGTTGTGTTAAATAGATTCCTCTCAACATAGTATGGCTAGAGGGGAAATAAGACTAACTGGCTATTGTAAGTGCATTAAAACTGAATTTATCTACCATTTTGTTATATTTCAATAAGGACTTAGTTGACATTTATCTTTGCTTAATAAATACTTTTTTCTTTTACTATTTTTCTAAAAGTATAAAAAATGATGTAAAGGACATTTTAAGGAGAGAATTTTAAAGTCTTTACCAACTACTCTTAGTAGTTTTAAATAAATCATTTATACATCAGAATTGAGATACTAATTGTTAGCCTTCTCTCCACTAATACAACAACTTATATCAAGCAAAAATGACTAAAGTTACTAATCTAATTAGGGTTACTGGATTTTGTTAACTTAGTTTGACTTAAGATAATCAAAGGAAATAAATCAAAATATTTTTAGCTTTTTTCTTATATCAAGGTATTCCAAAACCCCTAATACTTACTATAGCTCCCTCATTAAAGTTTCTTCTTTACATTGGGTTTCTTTGAGGAATATATTTTTCTAGAAATACAAGTGACTAATAACCATATGAAAACTCAGTCTTTGGTAATTAAGCGCATTCTTAATTTAAACAACAATGACATTCCATTTTTTAGCTTTCAAATTTGCAAAGATTTTTAAAGATATTATTAGTCTAGACTGCAAGGCCTCAGTGAGAGGAGCCTGCTCAGGAGCTTTGAAAATTGCATTTTTATGATGTTTGCATTGATTTATTAATGGTATGAAAATTTAGTTAACATGGACAAAATTGTATAAATATAATTATTATTAAGAGTATGGATTTTAACATTTGACAACCTTGTGCTAAATTCCTGCTTGGCACTCAATAACTGTGATCTTAGGCGATTTATTCAAACTATTGATCCTGTTTCCATCTATAAAATAAGCATAAAATACTTACTGGTAAAATGTTGACACAAGGCATTCAAGCTCCAGTTAGCCTGCTTCTCATGACTCAGCACTAACAATCCTGCTGAAATAACTGGTCAGCTCTTCTAAACATACAGAGGTAAAAGCCAACCGAGCCTTCATAGGCAGTGGCCACAGGATTGAAACGGGGCTTGGGAGAGACAGTCAGGACCCACCCGTTGCATTGGTCACCCGGCAAAGGGAACGAATGGTCACCATTTGCATGGGATACCACCATGGCAGAGAACTGACGTCATGGGCAGAGGAGATAACTTCATTGAAACCAGCGGCGACAGCATCAAATAAATTTATAAAGTAAACAGTAACTCAGCATTCAAACAGAACAAGAAGTAACATGAGCAGCATAAAAAAGCAAGGAAGAAAAGGATTACAAACAATGAAGTACAGCCTAAATATTCAGGAGGACCTAGAGTTATCAGAAAAATGGTCATATAAGGAACTCAAGGAACACCTTAGACAGATGGAATGGAACCTTAAAGAGGATATGTGACAGCAAATTCAAACAGTGAAAAAACACATTGAAAATGAATTACATAAACAGATAAAAGAAGAAGTTAAGCATCTTTATCAGAACATAGAGATTATAAAAAAAATCAAACAATAATTCTAGAAATGAAGGAAACTATAAACCAAATTAAAAACTCAADTGAGAGTATCACTAACAGAGTGGGGCAAGTAGAAGCCAGAACGTCAGATAATGAAGACAAAATATATCATCTTGAAAAGAGTCTAGCCAACTCAGAAAGGCAGGTAAAAAATCACAAGAAAAAACATCCAAGAGATATGGGATAACATAAAAAAAGGAAACTTACGAATCATTGGGATAGAAGAAGGTACAGAGATTCAAACCAAGGGAATGAGTAACCTGCTGAATGAAATAATTACAGAAAACTTTCCAGAAATAAAAAAGGAAACGGATATACAAATTGTAGATGCATACAGGACACCGAGCATACAAAATCACAGTAGACCAACGCCAAGACACATTGTTATGAAGATA